AATCAAATTTTTGAGGGGGTTGTGCTCCCAGGTTTCCTTTGTTCCTCCAACTGATGTCAGTCTTCGATGAATAACAACTTGAAATATTTCCAAATCTCCACAACCCCCTCAAAAATTTAATTGAACTAGTGCTCGTTGGTGACTAGCTTCGAGAAGTATTCCCGAAGTTCCAATGACAAGTCGTGACCGGTGGAGTCAAAGCCTGATGGCCGTGAGGACAAATACTCAACGATGACATTGGGTGGCGGTTGCGCTATATATCGTGAGCTAAGAGAAGTTGGAAATATGGACCATTGGATTGTGACCCAGTGGCTAGCTCAATGGTAACGCGCTGGTCGCGGAACTTGAAGGTCGCGGGTTCGATCCCTGCTGGTGTGGGGTCGTGGATGCGCACTGCTGAGGAGTCCCATACTGGTCGGACGAAACAGCTGTCCAGTGCTCCCAGGTTTCTTTTGTTCCTCCAACTGATGTCAGTCTTCGATGAATAACAACTTGAAATACCACGAATCGTTATTTCTTCTAATTATGAATCATTTCTACATTTTCCAACTAAGTTTTATTAGTCAAATGAATTAGTCATTTTAACTTGAATCAAATTAGTGTATTATGGAAAATTATTTTTAATTTTTTACTAAGTTGAATATTTGTAAAACATTCAAGAATTATTTTCGGCCAAGAATCGAAATAAACGAAAGGAAGTCGCATAATACATACAAGGGTTTAGAATAGGAAAATGAACAAAGGATTATATATGTCCATAGGAAAAAAAAAAGGTTGAATATACGTTTTCTGGACACATAGCTGGTTTAAACTTTTGAATAACTAGTACTGTAGATACTTTTTGAATGAATTCTCAAAAGGAACTGAATGACCTGAGTTCCCAAGATATCCTCTTGTTCAGTTGAGGATGTATTTTTATCCTCCGGTTTGTTAGCCAGGCTAGGTAGTGTTTATGAGCATATTTTAAAAGCGGATCTATAGTACAGCCAATATACTCAACTGTTTACAAAAACCGTTCAGTACTGGTTACTTGACATAATTGTGTAATGTTGAAGTGTTTTACTTATTGAAAATATCTAGTCATATTATGAGTGAATTAATTTCTTTAAATGTTTTGTTTGTGAATCCATGGAGTAAGGTGAATGACGACTTTTGTGATAAACGTCTTGATCAATAGTGTAAATGTATGATTAAATAAAGCATTATCATAGAACAGACTACAGAATAGCAGTCAACTCAACTCTGTCTCAACTTCATCGACTTTGAAATTCCCTTCGACAGCGTTCACCGAGAAGTAATTTGGTAGGCAGGTGCTTCAAAACTACGGAATACCACAAACCTTTGTCAACTTCATTCAACAGCTAATATGAAAAGGCCACATGCCAAGTAATTCACAATGAGAAGCTCAGCTCATTGACGCCTTTGAAGTGAAGACAGGAGTAAGACAAGCCTGTCTACTATTACACATGATATTCCTGATTGTAGTGGACTGGATCATGCGAGAAACAGTAAGGAGCGAGAAGAGGGGGGATACGCTGGTTGCACCGTGGAAAAGATCCAGAGGAAGATTTGGATTTCGCCAGTGATGACTTATGTCTAATGTCACACAAACTCGAAGATCTACAGGCGGAAACTAACAAGCTGACAGAAGAGGCGAGGCAGGGCAGCGAAAGAAGACGGGACTTCAACTGGACGTAGAGAAGACAGAGGTGATGAGGATACCCAACCAACACCATCACCGACGACAACAACAAGCTCAAATCATTATGGACGGGAGAAACTTAAAGCAAATAGTCTCTTTCACCTACCTAGACAGCATCGTTTCAAATACAGTCGGTGGCGGCACAGAAGAGGACGTCAACCAGCCACGATCGGAAAACCAAGACAGGCTTTCATTAACCTGAAACCAGTGTGGAGATCTACTGCACTCTACTCAGCATAAAGCATGAACGAGATCCGGATTCTCAACAATGATTCAGTCAAGTCAGTCAGTACTTCTATGTGATGGTTGAGAGACTTGGTGAGTTACGAAAGGGATTTCCAACAAACTACAGACATTAGTCAACGGTTGCCGCCTAGTGTCACTCGATACTAGAGATCAGATGGATGACCAGTAAGAATAAGCAACAAGGAACTGTTGCAGGCAACGAACCAACGAAGCAATAACCTATCACTCGACAAATATACAGGAGAAGAAAGTGGATATTGATTGTTCATGCAGTGACAAAACGATTCGGGGACATCATAGGCTAGGAGAGGCACTCCATTGGAATCGGGATGGAAAACGACGAGTTGGATGTGTGAGCTGAGGGTGACATAGAGGGGATCGTGTGAGGAAGAAATGAAAGCTTATGGGTAGTGGTGGAACCAGGTTGAAAAGACTGCAGAGAAGAGAGTGAAATGGAGACGTGCTAGTGAAGCCGTATATTGCACTAGGAACCCAAGAGACAAATGATAAAAATAATATGATATATGATTCAATGAAAGCCGCGGTAAATTGAACGCAAGCTATTTTATAAGTGAACTTTAGTTTGCACGTTCTCTCATTTACTATCCAAGTGTTATAAATGTAAAGGAGTTGGATATAAGATGGATAGCGTCAATTCAATGAGAACTTTATATGATGTTAGATTGAGTTACAAGACGAAATTGATAAATGAATCTCAAATCCACTCTAGTCATGGAAATTTTCGTTTATCTATCATTCATATGAATGATTTTGCTATTTCATTTGTCATTTTAACTCCAGACATTATACTATTACACTGAGAACAGTCTACGAACAAAAGCTATCTGAAATAGTGTTTATTACGAATGCTTGATTTCTTTAACAATCCATTAGTGTTAGTATTGATATAAGGCATAAAATTAGTAGGAATACACACAACCAATTTATGTAATCTTCTAGTATCAAGAAAGTTATAAGTTTATCAATTTGACTGATAGAGTCAGTTAATCTAATCTGTTGACTATTGTAATTACTTGACTGATGAAATTATTTGGAGTGTATTTTGCTAATATATCAGATGTTTCAAATAGGTACTCTTATCAGTGTAATTGTTTTTTATATGATACCGTCGTTGATTGGACCGAATTGATCGGTCTCTATTGGCATATGGGCTCCTGTGCGGATTCCTCGATATTGCCTGTGTTTTAATTATGCGTAGTAATGATGGATCGTAGCTAGCAATGGAATCCAGGATGCTCATTTTGTCCTATTCAGGACTCGGTGGGAACAACATCACTCACTGGGAGGCAGTTACATCCGGCTGACGAGTCTCAAATAGGACGAAATGCGCATCGTGAATTCCACTGATAGCCACAGGTACTCTTATCGTTGTATTGCAAGACGTTTTAAGACAAAACAACTTTTTTTTTGAAAGTAACAGAGGTGCTGAGCTTGAATTTCAGTTAAAACACTGATAAAGACGGTTTCATGTGTACCCAACTGAGGAGTCATTAATAGGACAAAACACTTGTATTAAATTCATGTACTAGTTATAGAGAAACAGAAATGAGTTAGTATTGAAGAGATATCCAGTGGAGCAGGTGATGTATTGCCCATTAAGAAAATACAACGGATAGTAATAAAAATATTAAACTTTTCAGTATAGGATCCATTTACGAACAAATTGTTGCAATGTGTCTCTAATCAATACTGGATAATTTTTTACCTGACTCTTCGCTAATCGATCGTTATCACTTTCGACCTTGCTAAATGTATATACTACTTCCAATCCGAATTATTTTATATGTTATATTCTACGTTAAACTTAAAGTTTTTAAGTTCCGTTTAATATACAAACCGTTTGCTAGCTGTTTTCTTCACGTAGATCATTCTGTTTGTACTCGACTTTCAACCAGTAGACAACGCATTGTAGACTTTTGTCAACTTATTATTATATTATTATTTTTTTCCCTTGGGTTCTTAATGGTATATAGGGCTTCAGTAGTACGCCTCCATTGCACCCTGTTCTCTGCAGTCTTTTGAACCTCGCTCAACCACTGCCTAAAACCTTTCATTTCTTCCTCTCATGATCTCCTCCATGTCACCCTCACCTCGGATGCCCAACTCGTCGTTTCCCTTTGGATTCCACTTGAGGGTCTGGTGTGGTGCGTGATGTCCCCAATCGGCCTTCTCAGTGTATGCTCAATCCATCTCCACTTTCTTCCTCTGCATATTTGTTGGATGATAGGTTATTGCTTCGTTGGTTTGTTCCCAGAGTTCTTTGTTACTTATTCTTTCTCGCCATCTTTGTCAATTTATAGAGTTTAGAAATTCAAGCAATTTTGTTTTCTCTTCTTTTCCCCTTGACCAAATGAGTTTATTATGATACTTCAAGTAGTGTAATTATTCGTTACATAGTAAAAGTGACCCTTTACTCAGAGGAGATTACTGTTTATTTTCATACACCGCTGAAAAATGTATCTATCAACATGTGAGTTAATGATATCTTTAATTTGTGACACTAAATAAGATAAGAGAATACCTTTTACCTGAGACTCTTGATCAGTCTTGCTAGTAATTTCTAGCAAGCATTAAAGTCATTGATCTTAACAGTAGTGAAATTGAAGCAGATTAATTTTCCAGCTTCTAAGACAAATTTAATCTGTAAGGTCTTATGATGCTGTTACCTCCTTAGACTGAATTAATTGAAAAAGAGTTAAACCAAGGAACCTATTGCTTTTAAGTAGACCATTGAAGCTATTTAGATAAATCCTTACCTCCCACTTCTCGATTTAGGACTTTTTGCCATGTATCACATAGCTTGTTGAGGAGATTATATCATATAAACAGCAAACTGTATCGGTTTCTAGGACTTTAGCTTTATGAAGTATACAATTTAGTGAATGACTAATGTGTTTTTAAAAGTAGGATTGTATTTTGTCAAGCTGTTAACATTCTTAACCTTTGGTGTTCAGGTTCACTAAAGTTAGATAATTTATATTACACGGACAGATAATATATACACCGACCTTTTTCATTCTATTCTTTTCAGACTCATCTCGATAAACTAAATGATGCCTGCAATCAACTGAAGTTTATTATCTTAGATATATCTTCTTGGACATATTTAGATGTGGTTGGTATGCATATTGTTACTGATGTAAGTTATTGAACTTTAAGTGCCAAAAATGTGTACATTTGATTGTAATTAAAAGACTATCTGTTTGTAACCCTGAAATAAAAGCCACATTTATGAAGCTTTTATTTGGACTTTACAGAAACGATTAGAAAGGAATTGAAGCCTTTAAATTTCTGCAAAAAATGGTTTATATGATGAGTAATAAAAGATGAGTAGTTGTACTCATAATGTTCTATAATAATTTGTGATTCCACGTTTGGATTGACTGTTTATCTGAACTGCTTACTGTTCATGTAGATTGGGAATGATCCACTCCTTAGAGGTAATCCGTCTGACATGAAGTATGCGGATGATATTGTCCTGCTAGTTGAAGATGCTGACAATGTGTAGGGTCTTCTCAACGCCTTCGGCAGACATTTCACTATCACCTGGCAAATGTGAAATGATGCTCCAGGACAAGTGTACTGCAGGTACTTCTAGTTTGATGATAGTGAGTGAAGTGGTGTAATGTGTCGACCAGTTCGCTTAATTGAGAAGTTGCATCGACCCAAACGGTCTGTCTGACTAACTGACAAAATCAACATCGAATCTCGCATATAGGTGCATAGGTTAAGGTGACACACTTCTCAGTAATATACGAAGACGAAGTGAGTAGAAAAAGACTGATACCGAACTAGACACCAAACAATCTCAGGACAAAGGTTACTGAGAATACTTATGCTTCAGTAGATTTCAAGGAGTGAACACATCTGCACCACTATTACCAAATTTTAGCCATACCACCAAGAGTCATCAGACACTGATTCTTTTCGTTGCGATAACCCCAACCTGGCAGTCTACATCTACTAAACGACTCAAATCAGTAGTCAGGGACTTCATCCACTGAATCAGGTCTTAGTCTGACCACCCTGAACCTTCTTCTAACCCTAATCCTGATTCCTCTAGCATGGTACGTCAAAGTAGGCAGTGACTCGGCATGTGCAGTACATGTCGAAGTCATCTCAGCTTCGCAACCTCATCAATGACGTGTCTATCTTGCCTAGTACCTTTCCCATGGCCACAACATTTCTCACACAGTAATTCCAACAAACGCAACCAATGTTACGAAGACACCTATGATCAACCACCCGAAACCGCTTCATGTTTTCTACTTTCAATGGCCATGTCTCACAGCCGTACAAAAAGACATAACGGACTGCAGCGTAATGTACTTATACTTTGACAGATAGTCGACTATCTTGCCAGTCGGCGACACAGGTAACGCAAGTTGACAAATGCCAAACAGGTCTTCTGTATTCTGGCTGAGATTTCATCAGCGATCAATCCGTTCAGAAGGTTGATGCAACTTCACACTGATTGACCACTGAGGAGCAACCAATCTCATGTTATCTAGTCCTGACCGCTGACCGAATTACATCGATCATTTCTCAATGTGATCACAAAGCTAGGAAGCTCACTATCACGGTGCACTTTGATGGATGTTATTTGGTTGGATACGATGGGCAGGCAGCGAAATACTTTGAGTGTATATGATAACAACGAAGTCTTTGACAATAACTGATTATACCAAATTTCTTGAAAACTCGCTCTTCCTCAAAAGTGTTCTTGAAACTAATGTGAAACTTGGGATTGCAACCCAGTTGCTTAGGTGTTTCATGATAAGAGTGAGACCTAAACATTGTTGTGTATAAATTGAAATGATGAAAAACTACAAGCTGAATAGTTAATTGTTATACCGAGCGTTAGTAGCTTAATTAGGAACTATTTACCACAAGATTCTCATGAACTGAGGTTTATCTCACCAAGAATGTTTCCGGTTTCTACTTTGTGGTGTTTTTTACATAATTAGTTTATAAAGGAGACCTAAAGCATAGGTTTTAGTCACTTTATAAGCAATATTTACTTATAGTTACCAATCACTATGGACGGGAAAAATCTAAAGGAAATAACCTCTTTCACCTACCTAGACAGCATCGTTTCAAATACAGTCGGTGGCGGCACAGAAGAGGACGTCAAACCAGCCACGATCGGAAAACCAAGACAGGCTTTCATTAACCTGAAACCAGTGTGGAGATCTACTGCACTTCACTCAGCATAAAGCATGAATGAGATCCGGATTCTCAACAGTAATTCAGTCAAGTAAGTCAGTCAGTGCTTCTATGTGATGGTTGAGAGACTTGGTGAGTTACGAAGGGATTTCCAACAAACTACAGACACTCGTCAACGGTTGCCGCCTAGTGACACTCGATACTGGAGATCAGATGGATGACCAGTAAGAATAAGCAACAAGGAACTGTTGCAGGCAACGAACCAACGAAGCAATAACCTATCACTCGACAAATATACAGGAGAAGAAAGTGGATATTGATTGTTCATGCAGTGACAAAACGATTTGTGGACATCACACGCTAGGAGAGGCACTCCATTGGAATCGGGATGGAAAACGACGAGTTGGATGTGTGAGCTGAGGGTGACATGGAGGGAATCGTGTGAGGAAGAAATGAAAGCTTATGGGTAGTGGTTGAACCAGGTTGGAAAGATTACAGAGAAGGGAGTTAAGTGGTGAGATGCTACTGAAGCACTATGTCTCACTAGAAACCCAGGGGGTAAATAATAATAATAGTAGTTACAATATTCATGCTGAATTCCTATCGGACGAGTTTAATTTTCGTTGTTACTTGATGACATTTAGTGACTTCAACTGTTTTTAATTTTTCATACTTTTTACAGGTGGTAAAAAGCTATCGGGAATTAGGTATTCGTATTCTATTCACTGTATGTGAACCACAAATAAAATCAATGCTGACAAGTGGTAGTATAACATTATCACAAATTGAACACAATTCATTTATAAGTATACACGATGCTGTTGTTTACTGTCAAAATATACTTTCCGATAGTAATTCATGTGAAAACATTATGACTGCTACAAATTCAAATATATTTAAAGACAATAGTATTATGAATGGATACAATGGATACAATTTATCAGATAATAAGAATATACTTGCTGTATCTTATCCTGATCCTGCTATTGTTGAAGATAAACAGACAGATATTATATTGACAACCCAATTATAATCTAATTATTATCTTTCTGACTGTGTATATCAGAAATGTGAGTTGATTTTTTAATCAGTATAAAATAGTCTTATGCTTTTTATCACAATTATGTATCTATTAAATTGAATACATTTTAACTCAAGAAGTGTAGGATAATGAGTATTGTTTTTTTAATTTATTTGTCGCTTGGGTTCCTAGCAGAACGTAGGGCTTCAGTAGCACGTCTCCATTCCACTCTCTTCTCTGCAATCTTTTCAACCTGGCTCCATGACAGCCCACAAGCTCTCATTTCTTCCTCATATGATCTCCTCCATGTCATCCTCGCCTCGACGTCCAACTCGTAGTTTCCCACATGGGTTTCACTCGAGTGCGTTGCCTGGTGCATGATGTCCCCTAATGGTCTTCTCAGTGTATGCCCAATCCATCTCCACTCTCTTTGATATATTTGTTGAGCGATAGGATCTTGCTTCGTTGATTCGTTGTCAGCTAGCCAGAGTTCCTTGTTGCTTATTGTTATTACTCTGGCCGTCTGAGCTTCAGTAATGAGCCAGCGTAGGTGGCAGTTGTTGATGAATATCTGTAGTTTGTTGGAAATGCTTTTTGTAACGCGACAAGTCTGTGAACCATATAATAGGGTAATGATGGCTACCTATTAAAACTAAAACTGATGTTCCATTCATTGGATACCTTTTCAACTAAACTTAACTCATTTTAAAATGTAGTCATGTTTATCACCTTGTAATCATTTGAAACATTCATTTTTGTAACTGGATACTTTAAGGTTTTACACTATCGATTCGCCACAGAAAAACGCTTTTCACATTTATTTTCTTGATATACTGAATACTTCTATACAACTGACTTTCAGTTAATCTAGGTTTATTTTTCATCTTCAACTTTACAAGTATCTGACTTTGTAATGATAGTTATTTTAAAACATCTAAATTTAACCTCTAAAGTTCAAGCGCAATTTGATATATGGTATTTGATTCAATGAGAATTCAAACACCTGTATTGAAAATATTATATCAATGGGTATATGTTTAACAAGTGACTGTTACATAATCTAGACAAAAACCTATTGATGGAAAGGAATACTTTATGTAATATACCGGTTCTAAGATTTAATTCGAGAAAATTTACCAATCCTAAATAATATGACTGCATTGTTTATCAAGATTCTATGCCAAAGCATCACTACGTCTTTCTTGGTTAACTAATCTTAGAAGAATTCAATCTTAACTTCACGTTAAGTTTCGATGCATTTAAGGCAATCAAGAGGTTTTTATATCTTCTAGAAAAGAAATAATTTGAATAAAGAAATATTTATTTTCAATTAGTTCTTTATAGATGACTCTCCATTAATATGTAGCATTTTCGCTATATAAAGCTACAAACCAGTTCTGTTGGTGATAATAACACCTTATCAATTTCAAAGTATCACAGAGGTGATAACTAATTAAGGTAATTAAAACAGTATCTGACGTATAGACTGATTACATAACCAAATTTGTGAAATCTTAGATATAAGTTATATTTGAACAAATCTCAATGTAGTTCAGTTGGTAGAGCACCGAGCCGGAAACCCTGGTGGTCAGTGGTTCGAGTCCTACCTCTTTCTGAATTTTCATTTCGCCTTCAATTATCAACTAGTATCAAACCTCAGCATTGTGCACCCATGATCACCCCCAGGGATTGAATCAAGACCTTCAGGTTGCGTGGCCAGCACGTTACCATTGAGCCACTGGGTTGGAATCCAGTGCTTCATATTTCCTACTTCTACCAGTTCACGAAATAGCGTCACCTCCACCCAATGCCATCACTGAGTAACTGTCTTCATGTTCGACTTGTTTAGCTCCACCGGTTACGACGTCTCACTGGAACTTCGGAATGGAGGTCGCGCTGTATCGTGAACTGATAGAAGTAGGCAATATGGTAATGGTAATGGTAATGTGCTGGCCACGGAACTTGAAGGTCTTGGGTTCGATCCCTGGCCGGGTCATAGGTACGCACTGCTGAGAAGTCCCATACTAGGACAAAACGTTTGTCCGGTGCTCTCAGGTTTCCAATGTTTCTCCAACTAATATCAGTTCATGGTGAATGTCGATCTAAGGCCAATAAACTCCCACAAACACCTCAAAATTGAATTGGAAATTCGAACGTTTCGCACTGAAGTTTAGTCTAAGCTTCTTCAGGGAAATAACTGAAGTCCACGTAATCACAGATATGTTTAACAGGTCAAAAATCATTTTGTTCATCCCACTGTCTAATCGTGACTGAATTATGATTATTTTTCAATAGAGTTATTAATTATTCACACTATGGTACATTGATATATACGATGCATAAATGCAGTCTTGTATGTGTGTGTTGTAGTTCAGCTATCGGTTAATACAAATTAATAGAGGTTATTTGTATCATAAATTGTCAATACATGAAGGATATGTACTTGATGTGAGTGATACAAAGTATGCCATTTTTGTGTATGTATAAAAATAATGAGCTGATGTTGATAAGACTAGGCTGTTTGTTTCCTGTGTTTCTTGAAGGCCACACAATAAATAATAATAATAGTATTAATAATAATGAAAAACATGGATACAATTGGTCGCACATTGTTGTATAGTTGACAGTTTCTATAATAGTAAGATGAAGAGAAGAGAAAATGAATTATCATATCAAGTGGTTATGACGGCAGTTAGAAACAACAAGGGAAGAACAAGGTGACTGGAACCGTAATAATGATAATAATAATCATAATAATAATAATAATAATAATAATAATAATAGTACTAATAGTTGTAAGCGTTTGTGGGATGAACGAATGGAAGGGCGGTGTTTTCTACAGATAAGTTTTATAAATGACCAAGGCAACGAGAGAAGCTGTACGAATTTCTTCGGAGTACACAGACTCGATTTGTTCAGGTCGATTGTGATGGTTTCTGCTGTACACAAAAGACAAACTCGTAGAGCATGGGTGAGATTAGAAGGAATGTGATAAATAAGTTTGAAGGCGTTATAAATATTAATTCAATGACCACTACTAACCATACAAAAGAGTATTGAGCTACAAATCAATCTTATTTGGACCTAGATTAACCATGATAGGTAATGTTCAGCGATTAGACGACGGACTTGTCTAACTGTATGCCCAATGTAACTAGCTTCATAGGAGCAGTCGATCTGGTAAATACACACAGTAGACGGGAAATCAAATAGTCTGCTCTTATGGAGCTAGTTACGTTGGGCGTACAGTTAGACAGAAGTTGAACAAATTAATGAAAATTTATACTCTGACAGCACAGACGGCGTTGTCAAAGATCTCACTCATATATCACATTAAACTCATGAATTTTCGCAATTCTGTCACCAAAAAGACAAAAGAGAATCTGATGCAGAAATTATTGAAATCTCTTTCAGATGACATACATATGAACCCATTTTTGATCAGTTCAAATAAATATGTAACTAACCTGTCATCCATTCAGCTGTCTGTTATCGATAAAGAAGCTTTGTCTCTCTGATTTAACTTTTCTGTCCTATATACAAAAATTTCCGAATTGATGAATGATGTTCATTCTAAATATCTTTATGACCAACTAAGTTCACTTGTTCCAGCTTCTGAACATCAAAGCTGGCTGAAGGCCGAATTTGTCGATATCAAACAGGATGTCGGTAGCTCTGGTTCCAAATAAACAAGTATCCTGAATTCTCAGGATTTCAATGGATTGAAAAAAAACTACGAAGTAGAAATGATATATTCATTCTTAATCCTGATAAGGAATCAAACGTAGTTTTTATGAATATGCAAGATTATAAAGACAAAATGTTACCCATTCTGAATGAAAAAAAGGAAATTCATGAAGAACTGTCAGACAGAAGATAATAGAAAATTAGAAAGGAGAATAACTACACGTTCAGTTAAATTTCTTAATATGACTGTCACTAGCAGTCTGAAATTTTTTATTAGTTAAAACCGGTAGGTTGTAAACACCCAAATTTATATAGTTGCCACAAGATACATAAAGTAGACATCCCGTTACGCCCAGTACTGTCTATCGATTTGTTACTCCCTAACGCATAAATTGTCAAAGTGGCTTGTACAAATACTAAATCAATTATGTAAGTTTGTATACAAAGATACTTTTGAACTTATCGACTATATATTATTATTATATTATTATTTGTCCCTTGGGTTCCTAGTGAAACATAGGGCTTCAGTAGCACGTCTCCATTCCACTGTCTTCTCTACAATCTTTTCAACCTGGCTCCACCACTGCCCACAAGCTCTCATTTCTTCCTCATATAATCTCCTCCATGTCAACCTCACCTCAGACTTCCAACTCGTCATTTCCCATCTGAGTTCCACTCGAGTGCGTGGCCTGGTGCATGATGTCCCCTACTGGTCTTCTTAGTGCATGGCCAATCCATCTCCACTTCCTTCCAGTGCATATTTGTTGAGCGATAGGATCTTGCTTCGTTGGTTCGTTGTCAGCTAGTCAGAGTTCCTTGTTGCTTATTGTTATTACTCTGACCATCTGAGCTTCAGTAACGATATTCACTATGTAGATTACATTGTCATCAAAATAAGACTGTTGTCTTTTGATATAAACTCTTTATGCACTAATGTGTCTTTAACCAAGGCTGTTGATATTCTTTGTGATTATATATCGTTGAATAATCCTTCATTCTCCATTTCTTCAGAATATTTTAAAGTGCTATTACAACTATGGGCCGATAAGGTTCACTTCACTTTCTAAGGTGAACATTTTCGATAAGTTGATGATGTCGCTATGTACAGTCTTTTAAGACCATTTTTAGCTGATATCTATATGTCACATGTAGAACTTTTTGCAGCGGATATAATCAAAAAAGTCCCTGTTTACAGGAGTTACGTTGATGATACCTTGGTTATATTTAAGGAACATGAAGATGCAAAAAGTCTTCTAGATAAACTTAACACCATAAAAAGCAGAAAATAATAATCAGATCACTTTCCTTGACATATTATTAACTAGAAGGGAAGATGGATCGATAAAAAGATCATTGTATAGAAAACCTAACTGGACTGGACAACACCTACACTTTCAAAGTTTCTGTCCCACACAGTACAAACGAAGTTTAGCAAAATGCTTATTCTACAAAATTCACCGTATCTATACAACAGATACATTGGAAGAAAAGTTCAAATTTTTAACACAAACACTCATGGAAAACACAAATCCTCTGAAGTTTATCAATCGTTATAAAAACGTCTGAGTGGTGCGAACTTATCAGTATTCCATCGTGAAGAGCGATGTTTACATCATGCTGCCAAGCTGCCAAGTAAGGAGGAATGAAACAGCATGCTGTTAAGACAAAGACTTAATTCAGTTATTAAAAAGACATACTACTCAGCCAAACTCAATATTATCGAGTAAATGAAATCTATACTTCAAAATAAACCTCATCACTACACAGATGATTATGTCACATCCCGTTGTGTATACCAATTTAAATGTGTTTGTGAGATGACAAATATATTTGGAGAAGTAATCGAACAATGAAGTCGAGGGTTGTGAATCAGATCCCTAAATGGTTAGAAAAAACAATTAATGGGATAAATAATGGGATAAATATAGGGGACAGACAGGCAGACATGATTGTCGATAGGTAAAAGCATTATAGAAAGAGGTCATAGGATTGATTGCAAAACAGACTTTAGACCATTTTACAAGAGCTGTCAAGAGCGCATACTTTACTTAGGTTTATTGAAGACTTAACTATACGAAAGTTAAACCCTCCTTTGTGTATTCTAAGACAGTTTGTGCTTGCCTTAAACCTACCTTGGTAATCTTTATTTCATTTAAATACCAAGGTAGGTGTGAATGGGTATTATTCCTCTTTTCATAGATATCCGAATGAAGTTAGGATTTGGTAGTTTGAAAAAGTTATGGGGATTGGGTAAATGATATTCATCATCTCGGTATTTATATTTCTCAATGGATGTGAAACAAATACCAAAGTAATGAATGTTTTATTCCTCTTTATTATCCCTACATATTATTTACTTTATCCCACCTTATTTTCATTCCTCATATAAAATGTCTTGACAAGTAAACTGTGTAACCAAACTGTTAGAAATGTATAGCTCAAATCCAACATATTTCTCAGATAACCTTCGACTTCATATTATGTTAGGTGAACTTTGTTTTTGTCGCTTAATGTGTGAGGAATATCAGAACGCTCTATGCATACTCCACAGTGGAGTTGTGAATTAACCGAAATAATACTAATATTTTTATAAAGACACTGTAATGAAATTAATTATATCGTTATTTGAAAATTCAGGTTTCACTGAACTGCTTTTGTTGAATACAAATGTTGTTATTAATAGCCTATTTTTATTTGTAGTCATCAAGTTTCAGATAAATTTAACTGTTACCTCTACCTTTTCAATTGCTTGGTATTTGCTATTCGTAAATACCATTAATAAATCTACCAATTTAATAGTGAGATATGTGTGTTTCCATTACACTTTGAAGAATTCGGTTACCTAACAAGTTGACATAAGAGGTAGCGAAAACGGGACTTCAAGTGAATATAGAAAAGACAGAGGTGATGAAGATATCCAACCAACAACAACAAGCACCAATAACCATGAACGGGAGAAACCTAAAGGAAGTTGTCTCTTTCATCTACCATCTAGGCAGCATCATTTCAACTACAAGCGGCACAGATGAGGACGTCAAAGCTAGGATCGGAAAAGCAAAACAGGACATCACTAATCTGAAATCAGTGTGGAGATTTACTGCAGTCAGCATGAAGTGTGAACAAGATCCGAATTTTCAACACCAATTCAGTCAAGACAGTGCTTCTATATGGTTTAGAAACTTGGTGCATCACGAAAAGAATTCCCAACAAACTACACAGATACCTCATCAATAGCTTCCACCTACGCTCACCCATACTGAAGATCAGATCAGATGGGCAGAAAGAATAAGCAATAAGGAAGTCTGGTTGGCTGACAACAAATCAACCTATCGCCTAACAAATATACACAAGAAGAAAGTGGAGATGGATTGGATTGAATATACACTGAGAAGAGCTTTTAGGGGATATCACGCTCCACGCCAGGTCCTAGAGTGAAGTTGAGCGTTGGAGGGTGACATGGAGGAGATGATGCGAGGAAGAAATGAAAGGTTACAGGGAATCATGGAGCCAGGTTAAAGAGTTTTCAGAGAAGAGAGTGAAATGGTGGCCTGCTGCTGAAGTCCCATATTCCACTAGGAATCTAAGGGACAAATAACGCAATAATAAATATACTTAGCTCAGGAGAATTGATTTATTTAGGATTTTGTTTCGCTTAAAAATGAGGATTACATGTGATAGTATAGAAAAAAAAAAGCCCATATCTCTGTGTTACAAACAATAACTCTACGTAATAAAGTCTTTAAAACAATACAATTGCTTTTATATTACAGCTAAAAAAAATTATCTTGTTTTTATTCACTTATAGTCTAGTATACAGTGAATTCAAGTTTGGTGTACAATTCAGCGAATAAAACTGTAAATGTAAACATTAATCATTTGCATTCAATTTCATTTTTATCATTTAATTATTAGTTAGTTTTAAATCATATTTACAATTGCAATGTATATTATCTATGAGATTATGTAATAACAATAATGTTAGATTATTATTTTACTTCTAATTTTTGCTTACTATACTCGATTATTTTTATTCATTGTAACTACTAGTCTTAATAGATTGATTTCTAAACAATAATACTATCTCACGATGGCTGTAAATTTTTACTGATCTATACAAAATTCTAATAAATTGATGTTTCGATAAAACTATATTCAAATCAAGTGTTACATGTTTCATGAGCCAATTTTGATTGACTTATCTGTCTATGGTTTATATTTTCATTTCACTAGATCCAAAATAGGAATTTCTGCAAAGAGATATATTTCATAACATTTATTAGGGAACTGCATATTCATGTGTATAGATACGATGCTTGGAAGATTACTCTTCATTGAGGGTAATGACTCAGTTGTTTAGATAGATGACTGCTAACCATTAAGCCACGGGTTCGAGTCCCGCCCCGACTACCTAGTTATGGGCAGCAAGGTAATATCACTAGCCCTCACACAATTGATGCGGCTCATCGCCTATTGCACAAATGTGCACAAGATAGCTGAGTGGGTATATTTCCTTATTTCTTTGAGGGTAATGGTGAAGTGGGCTTTGCTTATCAGAATGGATATCAGTAGTATATGTTGAGATGGCGGCAGAAACCATAGGCAATTGCCACCAGTGGGTGAATATTCTACCCAGAGAAACGCAAGAAACAATGTACGTGCATTAAGAGCAAATCTAGATGGAAGCTGAAGAGGAAATGAAGCACATTATGTAAATGACTGTCTTAGTGGAAGGTGTACAATTAGATGAATACTGTATAAAATGTCAATGAAAAAATGTCCTTCCTTCGTCTTCATCTTGTCGTTTTCTACAGTTAGTGTCGCTGCTTCTGGACGTGAGGAAGATCCCGTGGTGTGCAGTGTTCAAGGACGGAGACATCAAGGTCTTCCTCAGCGACTTCTAGTCGGTCATGGAGCTGGTGGATTTCCGGGATCCAGGAGCGAAGATTGTGGTACTTGGCACGTTGCTGAGGAGCACAGCGAAAGCGACAAGTAACGGTGTGGAACTCGTGGATGGGAAGGAAACTTGGCAGAGAATGGTTGAACGCCTGGAGGTGGAGTTTGACAGCCCAGTGGATAGGAAGCTGGCGATGCAACAGTTCCGGAGCGCGAAACTTGGAACAGACAAAGACCCACTGGTATTGGCTGTGAAGTTGACTAAACTACTTAGATCAGCACTTCCGACTTTGGATGAGGACTTCCAGACACAATAGCTGGCTGCACAGTTCACTGAAAGCGTCCCGAATGCCATCGCTCAACAGCGACGACTAGTGGACACAGCCCAGCCCATGGATATTAGTGAGCTGATGAAGGTCACCAGACAGCTATTGGGTACAGCAGTAGCTGTGGTGGAGTCACCAGAGGTAAATAATTGTAGAAAACAACAAGATGGAGGCGAAGGAAGGACTTTTTCTCGTTGACATTTTATACACTAGTCATCAAATTGTACACCTTCCACTAAAACAGTCATTTACATAATGTACTTCATTTCCTCTTCAGCTTCCATCTAGATTTACTCGTGATACGCCCACATTGTCTCTTGCGTTTCTCTGGCTAGAATATTCACCCACTGGTGGCAATTGCCTATGATTTCTGCCGCCCTCTCAACGTATACTACTGAAAACCATTCTGACCAGCAACGCCCACTACAATGGTAGCTACCCATAATAATAATAATAATAATAATAATAATAATAATAATTACTATTTATTATTATTATTAGTCCCTTGGGTTCCTAGTAGAACATAGCGCTTCAGTAGTACGTCTCCAGTTACCTCTGTTCCCTGAGATCTTTTGAACCTGGTTCCACGACAGCCCACAAGCTCTCATTTCCTCCTCGCACGACCTCCTCCATGTCACCCTCGGACGTCCAACTCGTAGCTTCCCATGAGGATTCCACTCGAGGGTCTGACGCATGATATCCCCAGTCGGCCTTCTCAGTGCATGCCCAATCCATCTCCACTTCTTCCTGCATATTTGTTGCGTGATAGGTTCTTGGTTGGTTCGTTCCCAGAGTTCCTTGTTGCTTATTCTCATTATTCTGGCCATCTGATCTTCAGTAGCGAGCGCAAGCAGTTGATGAATGTCTGTAGTTTATTGGAAATCCCTTTTGTAACGCGCCAAGTCTCTGAACCATACAGAAGCACTGACTTGACGTTGGTGTTGAAAATCCGTATCTTGTTCCACATGCTGAGTGCAGACGATCTCCACTCTGGTTTCAGGCTAATGAACGCCTGTCTTGCTTTTCCGATCCTGACTGGCTTTGACATCCTCGTCTGTACCTGTGCCGCCTGTAGTTGAAACAGTGCTGCCAAGATAGGTGAAGGAGGTTACTTCCTTTAAGTTTCTCCCGTTGACGGTGATTAGAGTTTGTTGTTGTTGTTGATGGTGCGGTATCTTCATCACCTCTATCTTCTCTATAGTAATGGTAATAGTAATGATAATGGTACCCACCACGATCATATCGAAAAATGTAAACATTGAACAAAAGGCATTTTTTAAAACTTTATGTTGTTTACAGGATATGTGCAAGTTAAAAAAAGTAATGAACAAAGAATACAATATACAGTCTAATTAAGACAAGTTTATTCAAACAATATGAATGTGACCTTTAAAATAAATAGTATCACTATGATTTAACTGAGCAGTTCAGAAGATGTAGAAAAAATAAGAATTTGAAATTATATCTAATAAGAGATTGCGTTATGATAAGGATAAATGTGAAAATTGTATATACTCTGTTTTTTATGCCTAAATATCAAATGAGATTTTAATTACAAACAAGATCTCTATTATAAACATCCAGGCCATAGTTTTTACGAATGTCCTGAAAGAAGTTGAGCGCCGAGTCAGGTTGATTCATTATATAGGTAAGTTTTTATATAATCTCAGCATGTTTAGAAAATCGAAAACAAGATTTTTCTGAACGTGTACATTCACCTTTTGACAGTATATATTTTCATGTTAAATAAAATCCGAATACTCTACTGAAGAAGCTGTGGCATACACAGCGAAATGTTCAAAACACGCTGGGATTATATAAAAACTTACCTATATAATGAAGGTCTCTATTGTTTAGAGAAGTTGAAAACAAGAATATCTTAGAAGCTCTAGCATAAAAGATAGATGTAGTGATATGAATTATCGTTTTACTAAATTTACTTCAGGCGCTCTACTGTTATAATTATGCCATTAAAGTGAGTGTTAGAGAAAAATTTCCGGTTAAATATCGCTTAGTCATGAGATAAATATGACAGTCAAGATTGTCACACCTCGTAATCAGCACATTAAGACACAAAGCAAAAGAAATGTAAGTGTATATGGACCCCTTGTATCTGTTCTGAGTTAAATCATTGAGAGGCTTAAACTGTCTTTTATATCTTCAGACATATCTCAGAGCAACAGGCAGAAACTTTATGGAATGATACCACATCTTAGTCTTATCATCCTTATCTTATTTTTTAAACTAATCCTACCTTGGATAACATAACTCATCGATGTAGAGTGGAGTAAATTTCCTTTTCACTTCGTGAGCTAACAGAAGTTGGAAATATGAAGCATTGGATTCTGACCCAGTGGCTCAACGGTAACACGCTGGCTGCGGAACCTGAAGGTCGCGGGTGTGCACTTCTGAGGAGTCCCAAACTGGTCTGATGAAACAGCTGTTCAGTGCTCCCAGGTTTCCTTTATTCCTCCAACTGATGTCAGTCTACGATGAATAACAACCTGTTTTATATCTTCAGACATGTCTGAGAGCAGCAGGCAGAAACTTTATGAAATGATACCACATCTTAGTTTTACCATCCTTATCTATTTTTTAAACTAATCCTACCTTGGTTAACATAACTCATCGATGTAGAATGGAGTAAATTTCCTTTTCACTTCAAGGTTAAGGCTTACAAGATCGTTGGAACAGCGGAAATTTGGCTAAGAAAAGGAGTGAGGGAACATTGAAGGTAGTCAATATGTGGGTCTCCAATGCTTCTGCTGTACATAGGTTACTTATTCTGAATCTATTTGAACTACTTAGTAGAGGATCTATATCGTGTCCCAGCTACACTAGGAGCTCGATGATAGAGTCAAAGAAAGTCTAATTTTCAACTTTCAATAACCAAGGTGGCTATCATTCATTGGTAGGTTTGACAGGTTACCTCATAGTAAGACCAATATCCTTCTGTGCGTACTGGCTAGTAAACATTTAGGTACATATTGATGAACCCCAACGCATCAACTTGCCTTTCTTGAGTTACCCGCTGGGATAACAAGATGATTTGAAAACTTGAAGCATAGGTCATTCTACTGATGAACTTTAACACGCATCATCACAGAATGTTAATGATAGTTGGTTATGACAGTGAACTGAAGGCTGATTGTATATATTTC